ATTTCCTCTCTCAAACAATACGTGTAATCGTCAAAATTTATCGTTCGCGCTATAATATTCTTCTTAACACCCTTCGCCCTTTTAGTATCCTTTTTACCTTCTACTTTCAGCGCATACATTTTTGCTCTGAGCCCGACGAATTCTGTCATTATAGCTCCGTTATTTTCATTTTATATAAGTCCTGGAATTTTTTTGTTCGTAAGCGATGTACCGTATATGTTATTTTGAGGATAATCGCTCGTATCAAACCCATAGAGCTAAGAATCTATGGACACAGCGCAAAGCATATAGGTTGGGAAATATGCGGTAAGGGGGGTATAGTGCTGTCTCTTTCTACAATAGGACACCGTCGGGTGTTTCCGCCACATACACGATGATTTCCGAAGTTAACGAATATAACATATATAAGTCTTTTCCCAGCAAATATAATATTACATGTAATGTGCATGTTAGTTGTAATTTCCTAATCAACAATATAATTGTTATATAACACTGTTATATAACAATATAACTGTTATATTGTTACAACAATGTAACAGTTATATTGTTGAGTAGAAAATTACAACTAACATGCACGTTACATGTAATACTGTGTTTGCTGGGGAAAGACTTATATATGTTATATTCGTTAACTTCGGAATTAAGATACGTAATCTGAATTGTTTCTAATCGTTAATTTAATGAAATATAGATGTATATTTAACATAATTAACATTAACATAAACTACGTTTACACAGCAAAGTTAATCCGGATTAGTAACAACCGTAGTTAGTGAATTTTTTGATTCGATTGGTATATTCTTTTAAATCTAAAAATATACTCTAATCAGATTCGAGACTGCACTAATTACGGTAGTTACTAAGTCGAAGTTAGAAGCCATGTAAACGTAGTCATACACTAAACATCTAAACTTACTTTAAATATGACTACATTTCACAATGTTTATAAACGAAATAAAGTTCAAAATCAAACAATATTATGTACTTGTGAAATGAAATTCTGCTACAATACTCTAGTTCGATCTGCAAGGCTCTTTTTCTTCTTGGATCGGTCCGATTAATACAGCCCGAAATTATGCAGGACGGCATTGTCAAAGAAAAAACACAAAACTTTCTTTTCATTCACAATAAGTTGAATAAAAAACTTCGAAGCTCAATCTCTTTGACATGTTTATTAACTATATATTTTAAGCTTCGGATATCTTCGGTCAAATTCGTTCATTAGCCGACAGTGTCTTATTGTAGAAAGAGACAATAGGTGAATAAAGAAGGAGAGTGCTCTCACTCCCCTTACCGCAAATTTCCCAATCCTCTTGCCACAAAGCTTACTTTGCGCTCTGTCCATAGATTCTTAGGCCCATGATCAAACCTAGCAATGTCACGTTTCATTAGCTCATACACATCGTCGGAGATTACATGGTAAATTAAACTATCTGTGTCCGTATACAGTACTTAACATTTCTCGCAATACAGAGGTGACATGTACTTATGGTGAAATTCATACAAGCAGGTCTTAGATATGTCGAGAATACACATACCCACATAGATCGGCTTGTTGAACTTCACTTCGAGTTTTCGCAATTCAGCGGCAATTAAATTTTCTGAAAAGATACTCCTGCTATGAAAATTTGGCATTGCGACCATTGCCTCTGCATCTTATCGTCCATCCCATTTTGTCAAAAGTTTTACATCGAAATGATTGCGAACATTTTCCATTGTTTTGCCGTGTTACGTCCTAGAGGAGGAGTGCAACTTTGCCGTTCGCGGTAAAAGCGAACCTCGTTGTACACACGTGTCAGGGAACGGGTCAGGAACCCGACGGGTCCCTTTACTCGCTCGCTGACGTACGACGAGCGTCCGTTTTTCGGTCAGGGAAGCGAATCCCTTTATCGGGGATAGGACCATGAGTCGACTGTTGGAAGGTGGGGCGATTTTGAAATTAATTAATGGAAAATTAGATATTTAACAAATTTATTAAAATACAGATGACAAACAAAATGATATAACGGCGCTATTTAAAATATGACAATTTATGGTTATGCGAATGATTGTATGTGTATGTGTGTCTGTATGTGTGAGAGAAAAGGAAAGAGAGGAAAAAAAGAAGAATAAGAGGAATTAATAAAATGGTGATAGGAAAGGTAGATAATAATGAAAGTAAAACCTACTGCTGGTTCCAAAGCAGAGAGAGAGAGAGAGAGAGAGAGAGAGAGAGAGAGAGAGAGAGAGAGAGAAAGCAACCAAAAGAAAATGCTGCTGGTCTGTGTGGGTGTGCAACGCTGGCTCTGTCGCTCACAGATTTCCAATTCGGCACCGGTTATGTTACACACAACTATGTGTTTTTTTTTCCTTAGATAGCAGATAATAATTAAAACTGAGTGTAAACTTTCAAAATCAAACGACAAAAAGAGAAGTATCAGAATGCCGAACTTGTCGTTCTAATTCGTGTGCTGGTCAGGCGAATAATGTGCTAGACTTTTCATTTTACTTAAAACGTCACCTCGGTTGAGAGGATGGGGTTGTGGAAATTGTATCGGGGATCTAAGGTCTATCTCCATCTATTAGAACTTTGTTGTTAACATTTTCGGAGGTTGGGTTTTAGAGTTGCGTCAGGTCCAGGGTGCAGGGGTCCAAGGTTTATTAGAACTTTTCCAGAGGTGGGATTTTGGAGTTGCGTTGCATTGTTGTAAAGGATGAGGTATCTATGGCGATAGGAGTTTTCGTCATCTCGTTAGGTTTAGTGAGAATTATTGGGTAATATGACGGGATGTGGAAAAGTTGTGAGTTCGTGAGGATTAACGAAATCAGATATCGACTGGTCAATCCGGAAAGTGACTCAGTGGATTTTCTTGACAAACAACTAGAGGACTTTGGTCTAGAGGGAGATAAAAAAAAGGAAATCGGTATGTGATGTCATCGTGCTCGAAATATCGCGGAACATGTTTGTTGAATATAATATTTAAAGTGTAGCGAGCAACATAAAATCAATTCGCTCTATTTATAAAAGGGGCTAGAATACGCGGAGTCCGCAGGACGCAGGACGCAGAACAGCCGAACAGCCGAATACCGTGTTGTTCATCAATTTGTATAAATGTTTCTCAAAATCGTTTGTTGCATGCGTTCGAAACTGTATATTTAATTCTATATAGTTGCGTAGCCATGGACATCGTGCGAATTGGAGTATGCGATGAATCTTTCCGATACGAAGACCATTGCGTGTGCATTGCTGCAGGTTGCGATAATGAATAACATAACGCTGCCTATTATATAAAGTCGCAAGGAGTTTTTTTTGCCTTTTGCTCGGGGGCTTCGTTTGCATCGGATAGAACGGTAAATCTATGTGTGCATTATGCAGGTGTTGGGGATATTCCAAATCAACCTCGAGAATATAACCTGTGAGCGAATCTAGCGAGATTGATGATACAGTCTGTAAAGTAAGAGCGTGTACGGGTTAATGTGTAGAAAAATTTATTTTTAATGATTTTTAAGTACATGGATTTGTTGTACTCCATGAGAAGAAAAATGCTATACCATTAATAATGAGTCCAGTCACCACCGGCATTGATAATTGCCTGGCATCTCCGAGGCATACTTTCCACTAAGTTGACTACGTATTCATTCGGTAAAGACCTCCAAATGAGACGAATTTGTCGTGTCAGCTGCTTCAAAGTGCACACTTTTTCCTCGAATCTTGTGCTTGAGATATGCCCGCACATTTTCAATGGGATTTGCATCTGGCGACTGTGGTGGCCAATCAAGTGTGACAATGCCAGACTGCTCTTTCCACTCGGTACAAAGCTTGCTCCGGGTTTTGGGTCGTTGTCTTCCTGTAAGATCCAGTCTTCGTTTTTTTTTTTTATGAAGCATCGTTCAGCAATCGGCAACAAACACTTCTCATAAATTTTAAGCATTTTCGGAGCATTTAAATTGTATGTAAACAGATGTAATGCTCCAAAACCTTGTTTTGAAAAGCAGCCCCAAAGATGAACTTTTACAGGGTGTTTAACAGTCCGTTGTATTAATCTATTGGTCAAGGTTGACCAGGAACGTCGGATGGCAATATATATCCTCAAACAGAAGCTTCGTCCGTAAAGATCACGTTGCTCCAATCTCGGTCCAAATTTTCCTTTGCCCAAGCGAGTCTTTTCGTCATATGTTTTTCGCAGTGGTTTCTTCACTTGTGCTTCGATATTTGAGGTTATGCGCAAGGAGATGGGTTCGAATAGTTGTATGTGATACTTCTATATCCTTCTGTTTTAATTTTGCTGCTCCTTGTCGCAATGTTAAGGTCGGGTTCCGCTTAAATTCACAATTTTTTTCCATATTCGACGTCACTTTGCCTATCGAGCCACGTTCTGGCAAGTCATCGATATTTTTTATCTTTTTATGATTGCTGAACCCAATTAGCGATGAACGATTTTGACTTTCCTATGTATTTAGCAGCCGATCAAAACTTGAAATGCGCTAATGGGGCAACGTGTTGACATTCAAAGATTTCTGCAGGCCAATTTTTACAAGTCATCATCTCCCCCGATGCGTATAGAAGAATTAATCATAACGTTATGTAAGATGTACAACTCACAATTTACATCCCGGCACGTTTTTCTCTGGACATATACGTGACGTCACGGTCGCCATCTTACCCCATAGAATCAAAAAATTCTGGGGAGGAGGGGTATCAATAAGAGGGGGTATCAATAAAGAGGGGGGAGAATGATAATTAAAATATTTAATTAGTAAAGTCAGGATTGAAAATATTTAATTAATAAAGTCAGGATTGAAAATATTTCATTAATAAAGTCAGGTTTGAAAATATTTCATTAATAAAGTTAGAATTTTGAAAATTCACTTTGAAAATTGGGTTAGAACTCGCCTTGTTTAACTGCAATTTGACATTATGGTACATGACTTTTCTTCTCGGTTACACCCAATCGATCTCCAATTTTCGTCTGCATGATCAGTTACCAACACCCTGTATATAACGTCTTTTTGGTTGGAAGGCTTGGACCCTGCAGGGCCTAACTTTAATGACTATCCGGAGCTCTGTCTCTCGTCCTCTGACGCGCGTTTCGTAGACATCATACATACAGACCAAGGATACTACGGTATTAACCTAAATAGAGGCACAGTGGATTTCTTCCCGAACGGCGGTTATCGTTTACAACCCGGTTGTCAGAGAGCTCTCTATATTTACCCGTATGGTATGTACGATGTACCTTCGAACTGTGAAGCAAATAAATGATACTTTATTTTGATCGTCCGTCGTTTCAGATATCTGCAGTCATAAACGTTGCTGTGAAATCTACGCTGAGTCTGTGAACAATGAGTTAGCCTTCCTGGGGGTGGAATGTTCTTCATGGGATAACTTTTTATCTGGCGAGTGTAACAATAATACTCAGGTCATCATGGGTTACGGAACTCCGAATACTGCGTAAGCAAAAGGACTTTTAAGAATCAATTTAAAAGAAAATAGAATGTACTTGTTATAGAGTTAAAGTGTGTTCTGAGACACGTAACTCTCATTTTCCTCTTTTGTCTTGCAGAACGGGCACTGTTTATTTCAAGACGGCTGCGAAAGTCCTTTCGGGCGGGAGAAGAAGGAGTTTAAAAATACGCCGTCGTCATATAGTACGATGATCGACGACTGCCATCAAATCGAACTGCAACTCATGTGTATTGTTATTTATTATCCAAATATGTGAATCTAAATCTCTCTTCTTGGTG